GGGAAAGTTTTCCGATGTTTAGCTCATGCCAGTCCCGCTACTAGATGCTTCTATTCGCGCTCAGCTAGCGCTACACCCTGGACCCGGCCATCCCGACGGAGCACACACCGAACAGCAGCTTCTGTGTCGTGTTTGCGCGGCGGTCACTCTTGACCTCAGCTTAATCCGACATCCGATACAGCCGTGTCCGACAAGAGACGACCTTTCACTGTGGTCGACTCTTAAGTGTCTCCGTACAACGCAAGCTACACCGCAGATCTGAAGAGCTATTGTCGATAATCGGTAGATTTTAGTACCTACAATTTTCAAGGTACTAGAGCTCGTTTTGTAAAGAAAAAGTGTTTCATCTATTCTGAGATGAGGCACCCAATACGCTTTGCTCACCTTCTATAACAAGTTTCAACTTGGTTTTCCCTGATTCCAAGTAGTAAGTTACCCAAGATGAAGTAAAGAACAAGTATGAACTTGTTAGACAAAACCTTCTCGTGTCCTGTCTCAAAACGGATGATATCTCCACAAGGTTCATCTATTTTATAAGTAGGAAGCTCGGACCGCTTTGGACACATTGTCCAAACAAGCTTGATCATGTATTTAGCAAGTTTATCGTGTATTTAGCAAGTTCGTACTTGTAAGCTATTTCATCGGGTCTTATTTGAAACTTGAAAAAGTACAAAACACGTTGTTGAACACGTTTAACACAACATTGTTCAGAAATGTGTGCAAAACGTCTGGATTCTCTTAGTCTTAAAATAGAAGATATATCCGGCCGCTTTTCTAATTGGCATCTAATTATCACAGGCCTTGTCTTCTCACATTTGTGGAGAACTGCTGGACTGTCATTTAAGAAATTTTCTGTAACTACTTCTCGCGATTTGTAACTTGAATGGTCCACTATTTACTCTGTTCCAAAAGTAGTCCAGTTCTGTCACCCCGCCAGCCCACCTGTTGTGTGAAACTAAGAAGCTTCTTCTTCTTGTAGAGTTGGGACAGGTACACAGTGTTTGCTAGACATGTGTGCTGCGTATGTAAACACATGATCTGATTGCGGTCTTTATCACCTTGTGTGCGCTCATTCACCGCGGAGACAACGCGGTGAGAAGGTTCATTTCGCAGAGATGGAGATATTTTTTGGGGCGAGAAATCTGCTGCGCGGGTCGCGCGTTTGCCGCGCATCTCGGGATACTACGCTTGTTGCCAGGATTAGCTGGCAGCGGCTCTACTCGCGTCTTGCTGTGCGCTCTTTGATTGCGACGTCTCGTC